CAGAAGGGTAGGTCCCCTCCTTCGCCGGCTCCCCGCCCACCCACCCACCCACCGACCGCAAGCCGGCTTTTTTCCTGTTATTTGTGCTCCGGGAAAGCACGCTGGGTTCCTGGAAGAGCCGCCGGTTACCTGGGCTCTGAGGGAAAGCCGCAGCCCCGGGATCTGCGTCCGCCCCTGTCCCCGCCGCGGGGCCTCACCATCTGGGCCACACTGTCTGGGAAGAGGTAGGTGGCGGGGTCTCCCGCCTCTCTTCCCCTCTGTGGGCACTCTGGCCACAACACCTGCCTGGGAGCGAGGCTCTAGCGAGTGGCAGAGACCCCCCTGGGGAGGGGTCAGCTGTGGCCCCTTGTTCAGTGGGAGAATGGGTCTGGACGGCTGGCCCTAGCTGGGTTTGATCTGATCCAACCCCCTTCTGATTTGGGGGAAGAGGGGCTGGGGTGTTCCATGCTGCCACTCAGTGCCCCTCCACCTAGCTGCGCTGATGGGGCGGTGGGGGCGGGGTGCCGGGCTAGGTGGGGATCTGTTCCTTCTTTGCTGAATGACCCGGTGGGGGGGGATTGCCACCACACTACAGATGCTCTTGAGGGGGGAGCAGTTCACTCAGAAGCCTGAATGCTGTTGGTGTGGGGTGTGCTTCTTGCGGGTAGGGATGTGAAGAGCCCCCTTCTAGCTCCTAGCTGGCCAGATGCAGAATGAGGCTGGGCGGCAGGGCGTGGCTGCAGGTCTGACCGCGGTGCTCTCCTGGTGCAGGCCGTTGAAGTGCCTGAAGGGGCTGGGGGCTGAGCAGACACGCAGGCCCTCTTGCTAGCTCTCCCCCACCCTTGGCCTAGCAGGCCAAGAACCCTTTCCTGGGCAGATGCACCAGGTGTTTCCTTCCCAGAGGACTGTATTGCCAGGGTGCAAGAGTCAGGGGAGTGGGGACTGGTCTACGAGAAGGCAGGCGGTTTCACTTTGGGAAGGGAAGGGGCACGGGACGCCCCCACGGGATGGGTAAACGGGGGTTCTGGTGCATTGCCGTCCACATGCACAGCTTGGGGAGGGGGTGTAGCACGTGGTGCGGGTGGCTGTGAGCGTGGAGAACGGGAGCCAAGGGGAGGATCGGTGGGTGGTGTGAGTGGGTGTCAGAGGCACTGCGTGTCAGCTTGTGGGGGCCTGGCTGGGAGAGTGCGGGCGTGATCTTGCAAGCAGGATGCATGCGTTCTGCAACTGTGTTTCAGCGGAGGCTCTTCTGCCTCTGTGGGTGAAGGGCCTGTGCCCACGGGTGTGTCTTGCCTCGGTGCTGCCGGCCTTGCCAGGGCCAAGTGCCTAACACCTGACCAGGCTGTCCACCTGGGGGTGCAGGTCTGAGGAGCTCCTCTTTCAGAGCCCATGTGCGTGTGTAAAGACCAGACTAGGGATGCCCCAAGGCTCAGAAAGCTGAGTTTGGGAGGCAGTCTCTGTGCATCTCCCCCAGCCCTATCAGTCCAGCTTGTACAAGTGACACCACAACCTGCCAAAAGGACCAGCTATAAATAGAGGCCAGGAACAAGCTGAGGACCAAGAAAGTCTGAGGGGCTGGTGGGGGCCAGGACACAGAAAGAGGGGCCTTTTGCGGCGGCGGGGGCGGGGTGGCGTGCAGAGAGAGGGTAAAAAACCCAAGATCTAAGAGAAACCAGAAGACTAGATGCGTATTTGTGTGGGAGAGGAAGGGAGGATCGGGGGTGCCTGGCCCGGTAGGTCCTGCTGTCATCAGAAGCAAAGGGGGAGCAGAGCCCTGAGCAGGTGGGTTCCCAACCACAGATCCAGGTTCTGGGCCCACCTGCCCCTGCCTGATGTTTCACCAGAGTGTGAGAGGGTGCTGTTCGGTGTTGACATTAGAGGAATGCCAACCCTAGACCTAGCAGATAGAACAGGGCTTAAAAACGGGGGCGAGTAGGGGGCGGGGGGTGGGAAGAGATAGACTGGGATTTCAAACTTGTAGAATAGATAAACAAGATTATACTGTACAGCACAGGGAAATATATACAATATCTTATGGTAGCTCACAGAGAAAAAATGTGACAATGAATATATATATGTTCATGTATAACTGAAAAATTGTGCTCTACACTGGAATTTGACACAACATTGTAAAATGATTATAAGTCAATAAGAAACGTTAAAAAAATGTGGGCGAGCAGAGCAGGAAAAAATGAGAGAAGAGGAGGGAGTGGGTGCTTCACCAGCTTTAGAAAAGGCGCAGGCTTGGCAGAGGTGGGGGACGTTCAGATGAACCACTGGCCGGGAGCAGGGCAATTTTTTGGGCAATCGTGGGTGCCCCCTCCCCTTGCACACATAGACCCCACCCTCAGAGTACGCCTGGGGCCTCCCCTGTTGGACTGGTCTGCTCCCTCCCGCCCTTACCCTCTCCACCCTGGGATGCTGTTTTGGGAACTGGTGACCTAGCTGGATCCTGCCTTTATTTCTGGCATTGAGTTGTTGCCACAGTAACTGCGGGGGTGGGGCTGGGAGGGGGAGAGGGTGAAAGGGAAACAGAGCCAAGGGAAGAAAGATGAAGAAAGGAAAGAAAAAGGGAATGGAAAGCAGAAGGAGCGAGGAGGGATCTGGAGGGAGCGAGGAGAGATCCTGAGGGGTTGAGGCCGGCAAGCACACGGTGAAAGAAACTAGAGAAAAAGGAAAGGGCAGAACCCCTGCCCACCTGACCCCAGCCCACGGGGACAGCTCACCCATTTCGTAACTCATTTACCATCTGCACCGCCAGCCTCCAGCCTAGCTTGACCCTGCCCTGGGGCACAGAGCCCTAATCCTCCAGTCTCTCTGTTCCTTGTCCACAGGCCAGCAAGTAGGATTCTGGTGGCTGCACCGTATAAGGTTAGCATACGGGACCCCAACTTCAGATTGAGGTGGGGTCTTTGGGGACCCATTGAAAAAAGTATTCATTGGCTTTGACCTGAGACATGCCTGGGTAGGAATTCCAGGGTGGCTTGTACTTGGTTGAGGGGGTGCCTCTTTGGCAAGTCAATTTCTCAGCTACATTTGCCCCAGTTCTAAATAGAGAAGATGTGGGCTTGTGTGAAGCCAGAGAGGATGGGTGAAAGTCCCTGCTCAGAGCAAGTGGTGATTGGCTTAGAACAGGAGGGGAAGCTGGACTAGAGGACCCCGGGCTGTGGTTCTACTGGTGGAGCCTTCATTTCCACAAGTCCAGGGAGCGAGAGCGGGCTCAGCCCCTACCTGGAGCGGGCGCCCGCGAGGATGGGGGGCGGGCCTTATCACCCGGCCCGGCCCGGGCCGAGCGGCTCTAGTTGCCATAGAGACGGGGCGGGCGGTGTGAGGCGGGGCCGGGCTGGGGGCTCAGATAAGGCGCGACTGCACAGCTGGGGGAGGGTGGGGCGGAGATGGAAGGACGAGGAACCGCGAGGCAGCTGAGATGGCCCTTCCGCCACCTGGGCCCTTTCCCTTTCCTCCCATTGCGCCCTCCCTTCCTGCTGCAGCCTGCCCTCTCGGTCTGTCCACGGGAGGTGGCCGGGACCCGGGAGCGCAAGTGCAAAGACCATGGGCGTGCTCCCATGGGAGAGGGGGTGGGGGCGGGAGCACGCGCGGTGAGGGCGGGGAGAGCCGGTGCGGACCTGCGCGGAAACGCGCTTCGGGGGCGGGGCTACGCGTGGGCGGAGTAAACGGTCGCGGGCGTGATGTGATTTGAGAGGAGCCGAGAAAGCCGTCCCTCCCCCGCCTTCACACACACACACACACACACACACACACACACACACACACACACACACACACACACACACACTACGACTACGACACCGACCGACCGTACCGTAACCGTACCGTACCGTAACCCAACCCTACAC